TGTTATAAGTTTAAAATTAATTAATTTCATTGATATAATAGATTAATACAATAAAAAATTTCTTTCCCCAAATCAAAAAAGGGATCACACTGTAACGATCCTAGAAATCTAAAGGAAATAGATAATAACTTAAGTGCGAAAGCGAAATAAAAATGTTATAGTTTACATTCCTTACACAATACTTAAAAGTATTAAATAGTGTTATGGAATTCACCATTTTGAAAGAAATACAATAAATAAGAAAATAAGCGGAAAATAAATAAAACTAGCATCTACTCGCAATCATCTTGCGGATCGGACTCTGCAACCTGGTTCTCTTGATCTAAAATGGTTAAATAAATGATGAACTACACTAGCCCAGTAAGGATATCACACTATATCACCGACACAAAAGTAAAGATTAGTGTAAAATCGAAAATCACTAATAGAGTACTAAATTTAACAAATTCATTTATCAATCATAAAATCATTTACCATTCATTTACCGTAGTGAAATTTATGAAAACAACCTATACAAATAATAATATCATACATATCATAAATTCATGTAAAATCAGTAACATATCACATATCATATGTCCATATACATCGTTAATAAATCAAATCATAACTGTCACTCTTTTCACCAGCCTACTAGTATTCATGGGGGTTCATAGGAATGTTCTCGCTACATGTGAATCTTTTCCTTTAACAATCTCAATTATGGACCGTCCTCATACCCCGTCCGGTATGAGTGTCAAATTATTAAATCTCAATACCTCATCCGGTATGAGGGTGAAACGAGCCGTCCCCATACTCCGTCTGGTATGAAACAACGTTAACGGTAAGGTTCTCTATGTACCCAGTCCGTCCACCATCTCCTAGGATATCCAGTAAGGCTATCGTTTCATCTATTCATTTAATCACACAACTTTTCTATTTTCCTTTAGTTTTCATTTCCAAATCAAATATAATCACATAAGTAAATAAACATGCATCAGGTAATGCAATCATATCTCAAATTTCAAATCAAACAGTAGTCACGTAAGGCAGCAATACATGCATTCAAATCATAAAATAGAATAATCAGATATTATCATACTTTTACACTGTAAAATAAATCAACAGAGAATAATTTCTAGTTCGGGCTCCATTAGCAATCCATAATTAATTATGCACATTTATTTAATTTGTACAAAATACCACATTATTATTTATTTAGATTTCAATTCTATGATAAAGAATAGGGTGAAAGATCCTTACTCGATTTGACACCTGAAAAACTAAACTGTTTACTATGCCTACAAGCAGTCCCTTGGTTCCCTGAATTTTTCTCCGGGAATCAAAATGCGCTAATAATACATACAAATATTCCAAACAAACCCAAAATCAGTCCTAGGGCCCACTCGGCCAATTTTAGAATTCCGGCATGGTAGCTCCGTCGTGCTCTAACGACGGTGGTCTGCCTCGAGTTGGTTGTTTTCGGTCGAAATCAGCCGATTTTGCATCAATCTCTACGAGAAAACACACTTAGGAGCCTCAGTTGGCCGAAAAAAATACAGAAAACTGAAACTCACCGGCAGCGGGGCTCTCTAGTGCGGCGGCTCCTCCGGCTCACGTTGCGGTTAGGTGTTTTGTTTTGGTCAACCTATAGAGAAAAAAACAGTGATCACAACGGTAGAAAAATTACGCAAAATGGAAATTGAAAAAAGCCTCATCGGAGGCGTTTTGTGAAATTTCCCGCGGCGATGCCGCTAGGCTTCGTTTGTGTTTTTCAGCCAATCAGCTTATCTTTTGCTCCGATTTGGTCATGGGTGTGTTTAAAATTAAATTATGAGCAAAAAAAAAGTTTTTACCTTTTTTGGAAGTCAAAAAGGGTTTCGATGCGGCGACGGGTGGTGGCGGTCTACTCCCCAGCGGCTGGGTCATATTCTCAAGCGAGGGGGTCTGGCAGCTAGGGTTAGGGTTTAGTGCGAATAAGGGTTATTTATATCCATCTGCTTTTGATATGAGTCGTCCATCGTGTTTGATCTGTACTGTCCGATCGCGATTAAATAGAATGTGAATCTAGACCGTTCATAACGATCCAATCTGGACCGTCTATCATGATCTAATCTGGACCGTCCGATCGCGTTTGGGAGGGAGTACATCCAAACCATCCGTGCGCGCGGAACGGACCTGGGTCATTCGATCGCGGGCACGCGGATCGCTCG